ATCGCCCTGATTAGCCAATGGGAAGCGTAGTGAAGGTACGGTCAATTACCATGTTTGTCTATTATTAGATAGGATATGTATACCCTATAAAACAAAATGAAAAATTCATATTCCAGAACATACATTTTATGATCTTTTAAAAGATTTTCTGCTGTTACCATAATTCTGAATCTTAGAAATAATTTTAGGTTCATTTTCTTCTGCTTTCAAATGCATTTATGAATATAACTAGCCACTAAATATTTACATTATAAGGGTCATCAGGATGCACATGTTTAAATGGTCTTTGCTCAGGTATTACCTTATCACAGAGGGCTACTCATTTCACTCCATCAGAATTGCCCAGTCCTCTGTAGTCCTTATTTTTTCTATGGTCCTCACCTGCACAAAACATGCTGTGTAATGTACTTATTGATTATATTTTATGATTATTATCTATTTTTCTTTGCTAAGAATGTAAGCTTTATGAGGACAAGAATATTTGTTTATTTAATTTATTAATATCTCCAATCCACTTGAAACAAAGCTGATAATGAATATAAATGTTTTTTGAATGAATTAATTAATGAATGAATGAAATGGAGGAAAATGAATTACTTATTCAAGTAATATATTTCTATAAAAACTGCCATTGTTAAGGGAAATTATAGTAAACTAGAGGCCCAGTGCACAAAAATTTGTGCACTGGGGGGGGAGTCCCTCAGCCTGGCCTGTGCCCTCTCACAGTTTGGGACCCCTCGGGGGATGTCCACCTACTGGCTTAGGCCTGCTCCCTGGGGGATTGGCCCTAAGCTGGCAATCAGACATCCCTCTGGCAGCCTGGGAGCCCTCGGGGGATATCCACTTGCCAGCGGGGAGCAGGCCTAAGCTGCAGTCAGACATCCTTAGCGCTGCTGAGGAGGCAGGAGAGGCTCCCACCACCACTGCTGTACTGGCAGCTGTCAGCCTGGCTTGTGGCTGAGCAGAGCTCCCCCAGTGGGAGTGCACTGACCACCAGGGGGCAGCTCCTGCATTGAGCATCTGCCCCTTGGTGGTCAGTGTGTATTATAGTGACCAGTCATTCCCAGTCATTCCCAGTCATTCTGCTGTTAGGGTCAATTTGCATATTACCCATTTATTATATAGGATAGAGGCCTAGTGCATGGGTGGGGGCCAGCTGGTTTGCCCTGAAGGGTGTCCCGGATCAGGGTGGGGGTCCAGCTGGGGTGCTTGACCAGCCTGGGTGAGGGGCTGAGGGCCGTTTTCAGACTGGCCACACCCCCTTCAGGGTGGGGGTCCCCACTGGAGTGCCTGGCCAGCCTGGGTGAGGGGCTGAGTGCCGTTTTCAGGCTGGCCACACCCCCTTCAGGGTGGGGGGTCCTGCTGGGGTGCCTGGTTATCCTGGGTGAGGTGCTGATGGCAGTTTGCAGGCTGGCCAAGCCCCCCAGTAGGGACCCTCACCCCATGAGAGTGGGGCCAGCCTGGGTGAGAGGCTTATGGCTGTTTGCAGGTTGGCCACAGCCCCTTCAGGGTGGGGGTCCTGCTGGGGTGCCTGGCCATCCTGGGTGAGGGGCTGATGGCTGTTTGCAGGATGGCCACAACCCCTTCAGGGTGGGGGTCCCCACTAGGGTGCCTGGCCAGCCTGGGTGAGGGGCTGAGGGCCGTTTTCAGGCTGGCCACACCCCCTTCAGGGTGGGGGGTCCTGCTGGGGTGCCTGGTTATCCTGGGTGAGGTGCTGATGGCAGTTTGCAGGCTGGCCAAGCCCCCCAGTAGGGACCCTCACCCCATGAGAGTGGGGCCAGCCTGGGTGAGAGGCTTATGGCTGTTTGCAGGTTGGCCACAGCCCCTTCAGGGTGGGGGTCCTGCTGGGGTGCCTGGCCATCCTGGGTGAGGGGCTGATGGCTGTTTGCAGGATGGCCACAACCCCTTCAGGGTGGGGGTCCCCACTAGGGTGCCTGGCCAGCCTGGGTGAGGGGCTGAGGGCCGTTTTCAGGCTGGCCACACCCCCTTCAGGGTGGGGGGTCCTGCTGGGGTGCCTGGTCAGCCTGGGTGAGGTGCTGATGGCTGTTTGCAGGCTGGCTACAGCCCCCAGCCACCCAAGCTCCCAGTGGAGGCTGGCTGGAAGCAGGTATCTGGGATTTATTTATCTTCTATAATTGAAACTTTGTTGCCTTGACCAGAGGCCACAGCCAGCCAGGGCAGGAGGGAAGCTTGGCTTCCTCCATTGCCTGGGCAATCAAGCTTCCTGCTTGCTCCAGCTCTGTGGCTGCCAGCCGCCATCTTGGTTGGGTTAATTTGCATATAGTCACTCTGATTGGCTGGTGGGTGTGTCTTGGGGGCGTAGAGGAGGTGCGTTCAATTTGCATGTTTCTCTTTTATTAGATTAGATAGCTCTATGAAACTGTAGTTTTGTATGAAAGTTGTTGAGGATAATTTTCAATCTATTGCACATTATTCTTTCTAAAATGATGCAGAGAAAGTCTTTCTTAGGTTTAGTTTGTTTTAGGGAGTATTGTTTTTTAATTCCTAAAAATAAAGTCATGTAATGGAGGAGGGTTAGAAACTCACCATCAGTCTTTGATGTTCCCCATCCAGTGACCACCACATCTGAATTGGGTGGGAATGTATAATTAGCTTCTGGAAGACATACTCTTCGAATGTTGCTTGTATATAATATTGGTGAAGAAAGATTCACGACAGCAATGTCATTCTCGTGTGCAGGGTAATGGTAGTCCTCATGAATTATAATATTCTTGATTTTTCGTTGTGCTTGTGGGTCACTTAAAAGAAGCCCAAAACTAACATTCCATTTTTGGGGATCATTGTTCCTAAAGGAAATAAATTTATTTATTAATATTGTATGCTTCTGAAAATAATTAGATATATTTTGAATTTCTATAGTACATATAAGCATACAAAAATAAAGCTATATGTATGAGAAAAATTAAAAAATAACAAGATGGTTAGATTCTGAATAACTGAATAAGGTATATTTTAAAAGATAACCCATAAAAACTACATTTTATTCTTGTTCTTTTCCAGAAAAGACTCAAGAGTGATTTAAATAGATTACTATGACAACACATGGTAAAAAGATTAAATAAAAAGTGGGCAAGCCTATGGGACAGAGTAAACATAGAAATTAAGGAAGTATCTAAATCCTCTTATATAATCATCCTATATAATAAAAGCCTAATATGCTATGTGTCTGACCATTCATTCAACTGTTCAACTGGTCTCTATGACACACACTGACCACCACGGGGTAGACACTCAGACTGGTAGATTAGCTTGCTGCTGGGGTCTGGCTGATTGGATTGGGTAGACAGGCCTCCCCCGCCTGATTGTGCCCCGGTGGGGTCCCTTGGCCTGGCCTGTGCCCTCTCACAATCCAAGACACCTCAGGGGATGTTGGAGAGCCAGTTTTGGCCCGTTCCCTCAGGCCAGGCGGAGGGACCTCACTGGTACACAAATCTGTGCACTGGGCCTCTAGTTATAACTATAAATAGGAAGATATTTTATGTGCTAATCAACCAAGATACCATTGCTTGTATTTTTTATATATTTCTTTATTGATTTTAGAGAGAAAGGCAGAAGGAGAGAGAGAGAAACATCAATGAAGAGAGAGAATCATTGATCGGCTGCTTCCTGCACACCACCTACTGGAGATGAGAGCCCACAACTCAGCCATGTGCTCTTGGCTGGAATTGAATCTAGGACCCTTCAGTCGGCAGGTGGACGCTCTATCCACTGAGCCAAACTGGCTAGGGCATGGTACCATTACTTGTTAATTAAGAGTTTGTATATTAAGCATTGAAAATTAGAACTCTGGGACATTTTTAAGCTCTCAAGTTTGAGAGGAATTTTTGTTTAAAAAGAAAATATATAAATGCTCTATAAAGCCAATAGAAATTATTGAAATGAACCATCAAACAAAGAGGTAAAAAAGCTTTTAGAAAAAAAAAGGCAAACTTCGGTGTAATAATATATCCTTTAAAGAAATAATCATTTCAAATAGGGCTATAATATATATGGGAGGATACAGCATGAATTCAAATACCTATTAAGTAAGACCAAATGTAATAATGATGAGAAATAGAAGACTTATGTTCAATTTGGGATTTAGAGTTTCTTTATAAAATTAAATTAAGTGAATCTAGCTTAGTGATTTGCAACTGAGGGCTATTTTATCCTCCAGGACACATTTGGTATTATCTGGAGACATTTTTGCTTGTCAATCCTGAGGGAATGCTATTGGCATTTGGTAGGTAGAGGACAGGAATGCTGCTAAATATCTTTGAAATCACAGGTAGCCCCCCTCCCCAAATAACAACAACAAGGACACACATAAAGAATTTTTTTTGACTTAAAATGTCCATAAGTCACTGCTGACAAATCTGCATTAGCCTGAATATATCTATTTTTAAATTAATAATTCAATAAGTAATTTTAAGACTGTACAATATTAAACAGTGGGAGGTGCTGTGTATGGCCATATTCTTGAAAGATATGTATCAAACTTTTAGGTACTTGAGTGCTTTGAAGCCTTTATGTGGTCCAGAGCTTACCTTATGAAACAGTGAGCAGCAGTGACAAGCCAATAGTTACTAATCAGAGTGGCTCCACATCGGTGGACACTGTTCTGTTGAAGGCTAGCTTGCCAGGGCCATTCCCCTTCCTCGGCATCTGTGCCCCCTGCTATTCTGTTGCCAGAGAAAGTTATTGTTCGCAGTCCACAACCTGCTCAAAATAGAGCTCATTAGCGTATAATGATATTCATATTGCTTATGCATACATTGCTCTAGTAAACAAATCCCCCATAATACATTTCACTGTTAACTATGAATTAAGGAAAAACTCAACAGACAGTCTTGGAAAAGTTAGGACTAACTTACTACTGACATGAGATTTCCTGAGCATTCAAAATAAATTGACATCTTCCTTCCCCAACCTCATCACTCACATACACTTTCTCTGTGTCTGTGTGGCCTTGCCTGTTGTAAGGGCTAAGTGAAATTAATATTTGAAATTGGAAGATAATAATTGTATAACCAGCTATGAAGTTGCATAGGGAAATGTGTGCCTTTTAATTTCATGAGCAGTTGTTTAGAGTAATGATTGCTATGAAACATTCATAGTAAAGAGTGAATGAATGTGAATATGAATGAGATATTTATGAGAGAAAGAGTAGACAAAAAAGTGTTCATACTCAAGTTACAATACATAATATCTGGATAAAAGGAATAACACATGAGGATATTCTCAAAATTATATGCTTCTCTGAATCAAGACCACTTTCATGTCAATTTAGCTTCAGATAAACTGCTAGACTCTTTAAAAAAAATTTATGATTTATTAATATAACTTTATTTTTATTGTTGACATTTTTACAGATATCCCCATTCCTCCACCTTTGCTAGCCCTTATCCATCCCCAATTCCTTTTTCCTCTGGTCATCACCACACTGTTGTCTGAGTGTATGGGTTATGCATATATGTTATTTGGCTACTCCCTTCATCTTCTTTCATCTAGTCCCCTCCATTCCCCTCTGACAGCTGTCAGTATGTTCCATGTATCTATGCCTCTGCTTCTATTTTGTTTGTCAGTTTTATTTTGTTCATTAGATCCTACATATAAGTGAGATCATATAGTATTTGTCTTTCTCTGACTGGCTTATTTCCTTAGCATAGATTCTTAAGTCTTTAAAGCAAATCTGCAATAATAGAACGACTTCACTGTTATTTTATCTGTCTGACTCTCTTTCTCTGATTCTTTTGACTATCTCATGTTACTCCAAATGAAGCACCGAGCTTATACCTTAACAGTTTATGGTATCTTTTAAATATTGTCAGTCTTACTAATAAATATTTTTTAGAGGGCAGAAACTGTATCTTTAAAAAAATGTATCTCCATAAGCTATCCCAGAGAATCTACTATATACAAGGTACTCAAGAAATGTTTGTAGAAATGTAGTCTGTCTAGTCTACTAATTCATGAGACATCTTGGAATAAACATGATATTTGACTGCAAAACCCTTTTCTGTAATGTGTAATGTTCCTAAGCATTTAGAGAGTGCCAAAAACTTGCCATAATCAACACTGTGGGCATAGATTAAAGTAGTGGCGCTTGATCAGGGACAGTTTGCACACCACCCTCCATCCCCAGGAGAAATTTGGCAATATCTGGCTGGAGACATTTTTGGTTGTAATAATTGGGGGTGGGGGTATTGGTATCTAGTGGGTAGAGGTCAGGAATGTTGCTAAAATTTTATGATATACAGGACTGTCCCTGAAACAAAGAATTATCTGGCCCATAATGTCAATAGTGTTAAAGTTGATAAACTCTGAGTTAGAGAAAGGAGTTTATGTCAAGAATGAGATTTAAATTAATCGGAAAGGTTAGATGGTCAATTGCTTTACAGGGATGTTGTTAATTATACGTGACAAGATGTGTCATGAGATATTTTTTCCTGAGGGTGGAAAGGAATGAGAAGCACAGGGGAGGGACACGTAGACCTTTTAAAAGGCCTTCACTAGTCCTCTAAAGTCCTCAAGTATGTATATTGCTTCCGATTCCAGATTGTTCTGTTTGATACAACCCAAACTTCATTTGTTAAGGCATCCTCTTCATAAAAACCACTTAGCTGAAACAGAGCCTTTGTGATTGCTATTTTTGATGGGAGAGCTCCCACATTGACTCATTGAATGTAACTCCCTTGCCTTTTCCTCTTTCTTTCTACTCCTTAATCATGGTCCCTACAGAGGATAAAACAAACAATCCAGAACCCAAAGGTATAATGGTTCTTCCCTATCCTCCCTTCTGTTTGGACAACTCCTAAAGGAAATCAGCTTTTATTCAACTTCCTTGAGAGGAATATAAAAACAAAGATGCTTCTCTGTGAGCTAGGGGAAACTCCCCTGGGTGACTCTAACTTCCCTGTTTCTGCTCTTACTCAGCATTTTAATCTCATTCATAATTATTCATAAACTGCCATTCTGAGCTCTCTGTTAAGCTTTCAGCTGCTACCTCTTCAGTATTACCTTGCTATTACCTTGCTGAGATCTTACAGGGCACCTTGCTTTTGTTGTGTTAAAAGAGGTCAGAAGGTAAATTTCAAAGATTTTAGAATATAATGGTTCTCTGGCTACTTTCAGAAACATCACCTATTGCTGCGCTTTAAAGACTTTATATCATGTTTCAAAACTTTATTTTTTCTTTAACCTTGTTTGGTTTTGCTTGCCAACCTCTTCTTTCTCCCCTTTTATCTAAGGTACAATCAAAATCTCAGAGAGGCCAAGTCAAATTCAGATTACTGATCTAGCTGGCTGTTTAGTGTTCTAGCTGGGGAATGAATAAATTTGCAGATCTCTTTTTTACCACTGCTTTTATTTGCGTCTTGACTACCTCTCCTCTACTAACCTGACAAATTCCTAGTTGTAGATTTTGATCACATCAGTACTAAAGTTTTAATTGGAATAAGTGATTTAAGATGTCTTATTAAGTTGCTTGAGGATTGTCCAGCCAAAATATATCAGAGAGAAAAGTAATACAGCTTTGTGTTGAACTTTTGCCCAGGTTGCTCAGAAATAATTATGCTGTGATTGAAGGATAATAAGAGCCACCAGGGTCAGTGTCACCTGTCTCTGGGGGGAGATTCCTCTAATCCAGCTACCCCAATTGGTCTCACTCCCCAGATAGGAGCAGTATTTCTGCTGACAGCCAGGTTGTAGCAACCAGAGATCACCTTTATCAGAGCAGCTATTAGGAGATGGGAGCAGAAAGCCTTGGCCAGCACGTAAGGCACTCTACTTGTTAGCACACTAAGCTTGGCTTGTAGGGTCAGAATTCCATAGTGAGTTCCTAAACCTGAATTTTTCATAGGCAGAGTAGAAAATCTAACAGCTGACATCTATTAAGTGCTTATTATGAGCTATGTACTCTCTTTTTAAAAGTATAAATTAGATATTTTTATTTAAAAAAAGTATATTTTCAAAACAATATAATTTAGGGAAAGAGAGTAGCATTGTTTTACATTTTGAAAGTCTGTCTTAATAAAAGATGGCTGAATTTCTTATATCTGCTTCTTGTTTCAATCTACTGTTATATATTGTTTTGGTTAAACTATATGAAGAAAATCTGGTTTCACACAGATATGCAGTTGGAAAATGGAGGAGTATTTTAATTCTTGTAAGTACTTTACTTGTGCTACATTCTTTTTTCTTTACAACAACTTGGAACTAAAGGCTTCAAGGTTAAATAATCTATATAAATTTATACAGTGGTAAGTAGCAGATCTGGGTCTCAAAACTGATAGGTAATACTGAAGAGGTAGCTGGTTTTAGATTTTAAGTGCTTAATTAACCCTAGATCCCCTGTGCCATTATGGCACGTGGTAGTGTTCCTCATTTTAAATCCATGATATCAGTTATTTTAGGGCCAACTTCAGTCACCTTCACACAAGTTTCTAAAAGCAGGCTTCCCATTACACCTTTATGGATACCACACTGACTCTCCAGTGGAAGTCTTTTTGCCATCCAAGAAATTAAGATTCACAAGAAAATAAGTATTTGTTGATGAACTTACAGGTATTAAGAAGATTTTCTGCTGTCGACATTTCTATGTCTAAAAGTCAAGGGAAAAGAAAATGGAAATATTTATATTTATAAACATATTATTTTGATAGTAATTAATATTAAATACTTTTCTGTGGGGAATAGATTTTTATGTAGGCATAATTATTTATTCAATCTTCATTATATAATTTCTGTGTTTATAGATTAGCATAAAGAACAAAATCTTAGTACTCATTTTTCTGTCTAAAATTTCTCAAGTTTTCTAAAATAACTAATTTTGTGAGTTTGATATTTTTAAAATTAATACTCTTTGTGTAATGTTTCAATTATTCAGAACATTTAATTAAATATGATATTTGTTTTCCATTCATTTTGGATAACAATTTTTATTTTTACTTTAGTAATAAGGCAGACTTTAACAACGTCTAATCATTTCTAGCAACTAGGGAACATTACAGGATGAGATTTACTGCAGAAAATTCTGAAAAATTGTCTGCAAAATTCCACATCCCTGCAAAATTGTAAACCTGTTTGATTTATAAGGGAGATGTGCAAGGAGAGGGTGAACAACTGAATCATGATAATGTGCACATTCCAGATGCTGAAAACTGTAAGTCAACTAGACATTTCTCTTTAAGTGTTTCTCTTCCCAAAAGAATCTCTAGCCTGACTGATAATGGCTCAGTGGTTGAGTGTCAACCTATGAACCAGGATGTCACGATTCCATTCCTAATCAGGGCACACTGGGTTTTGGGCTCAATTCCCAGTGGGGGCGGGGGGCATGCAGGAGGCAGCCAATCAATAATTCTCTCTCATCGTTGATGTTTCTATCTCTCCCTCCCTTTCCCTTCCTCTCTGAAATCAATAAAAAAAAAACCCACCCAGCTCTAGTTGCTCTATAAATTAAATACTATAAGTGTCAATGTAGGTTCATTTTATTATGATCTTGGGTTTCTATAAATCCAGGAGGGAGTATCCAGTTCCATATACCAATTATAGTTACACACTCTTACATTAGGTTACACAACAAACCAGGGAGACAAAAGAATCCTTTACCAGAGAGTCAACCTGTCTGGACAAAAAGTCAGGAGCAATTTGTCAGTCAGATGGACTATGAGTAGACATGCACCACACCTACTAAACCAGGAAGGTAGCATATTTCCATCTAATCCTTCATAACTGCCTTCCAGAAGCCAAGTTTTGTTCAGCATGGTACCTTTAGAGTTTAATTTTGAGCTTTTTGTGGTTGGTAAAATATATCAAACCACATTAAGATTTTGGGAAATAAAATCATTTAACTTGACTAAAAAATTTTAATTCCTATAATTTAAGAACAAATTATTTAGGAACCCTTCTATGATTGCAGAACTTTCTTCTTTCTTTGAGGATTTCTTTATTGATGCATGACTTGCTAAAGGAAAGAAATGTTTCTGACTTATAACTTACTTTTAGTAGTTGTATTATCCCAGAACCTAATAGAATAACTATCACTTGGATTGGTGGAAGACAGACATGTACAATGAATGGGGAAATGACATTAACTGTCACTCCTTTGGTCTGAGTCACTGTGTTTCCTTCCTTTTAAGTCCCTTGGCATACACTCAAAGGCTGGAACTCCTCTGGATTTACCTCTGAATCAAGGAGTCAACGCTGTAACCCAAGATACTCTGTTTATAGAGCATAAAGAAAGTGACCCCCCCCCAATAACACTGCTCCTGCTAGAAATGAGATTCCATTAATGGATAAGACAAAGCAGTTTTAAAAAACAGCCCAGCCAATGTGCATTGTCTTCTTCCATGGACCAGGAATCAAAGAATAGACAAGGCCCCTGCCCTCAATGAACCTGGAGTGCAGTGGAAGAGATATATAACTAAGTAGACAATTTGATATTATGTGATAAGTGTTATGGCAGAGAACATTAATGCACCAAGAAAAGTCACTTAGCATAGAGGGGTGATAGGGGAATGGGAACAGCTGATGACAAATTTAATCAGGAAATTACTTTTACTTTAAAAAAAAAGCTACTCTAGAGCATTAATATGACTGGTCTGCATTAGAAGGCAAAGGAATAGAGTTTGGACCTGGATTGTGGTTGATAAAATCTGAATCCTTCATTCACTGCAGGCTTTGATTAGTCACCTGGCTACATATTTAAGAATAAATAGTTTTCTTTAAGCTTCTAATTAGATTGAATCTATAGTTAGATATTAAATATCATATATCATTCCTCAGAGTGATGTAAATATTTCAATATGTTCATCATTTTAACTTTGAAGATTAAAAAAATCTAAAAGATTTTAACATTTAATCAATTAAACTTTTATGTTGGCTAAACTTAAATAACCAGTTGTATATGCAGGTAGTATATTTTAAGGTAGAACTGTGCTTCAATTTTTTGTTGTTGTTTGTTTTTACCTTTATGCAATTTTAAGAGACATGAAAAATCGAAATATTTCTTTTTATTTGGTAATATATATGCTTTTCTTATGACTTAGCCATAATTGATCTTAAGCTTTGGCAGCAGTAGAAAAGACTACTGCAATGAAGAGAGGACAGACACGTACTGAGGAGTATATTTAGACAGCTCTTTGATGTAGTGAGCAGTGGACAATGTAAGTGATAACCTGTCTTAAGCTTTTGAAATGCTATCCTTATGTTTCTAAGGGGCCCTTTTGAGAATACACATTGGACAGGAAGTTAATATTTAGGATTAGCACTTTCAGTTCGGGAAGTTTCTAGCTTGGCACTCCTGGGTACGTTGTGAATGTCTGCATTTTGATGGCACAGATCTGGTGTTACATTCAACAAAGAATACTTTGTGATTCTTTTTAGTTCATGCTCATTGCTTTTCTTAAGACCCATCTTAAGCGGTAGCTTCTCCAAAAAGTTTTCCTTCTTATCCCCCTTTTCTCAGTAAATACCCTAGCTTCATGTTCCCTTACCAATTTGCATTTAATAGTTTTTGATGCAAAATAATCATCACCAGGTAATAGTCAGTTGTTTATTCTGAAAAATTAAAATTTTTTTGGAACTTATTTCAAGATGTTTTATTTTAAACATATCTTTTCTATAGAAAATATTAAGAAAATATTTTTTTTTTCTGGGAACTATACTGATTTAAAAAACTGCATAAAAATAAAAATATTTAGGCAATGGTTAATAGACCCAATCTCAACTATAACAAAATTTATAGACTTATTTTATGCAATACTTGTGAGTAAATTCATGACAATTACATGGTTTTTGAAGTTGCACAAGTAAGCTGTCATTAACCACAAACCACAGCTATTCCTTTCTTACTCAGAACACAAAGAATTCTTTTGTGTTTCTTCAGAAATTTTTCCATAATAGACACAATGTAGAGGGTGCAAAGAATAAAAAATCTGTTTTGGAAGAAATGTCTAAATTCTTTAAGTTTAAATTTCTATCTGGCCTGAGTTGGCAGACTTGGTAAAAATTTTTATTTCTTTTTAAGACCGAGCTATTAATATTGTGAATGCCTTTTCTGTCCTTATTGACTTTTATGAGCCTTAATAGAAGCTCTTGGGTGTGTACATTATCAGAAAAATAAATCGCTTTAAGGGGAAAAATTAAAATTGGCATTTATTACATGATACTATTTAACATGTATTGCATTAAGAGAATCAGGAAAGAAATAATCATATAAAAGAAGAAACAGTGTTTTTTCCTAATAGCTTTAGTACCTTCACAATCTTATCTAAAGTGTTGATGAGTGCCAAAAGATTTCAGGCTGCTGAAATGGAAGATGAAATATCATTGTTATACTTTATTAGGAGTAACTCCATAATGCTATATTTCAGAATCATCGAAAGATTTCCAAATTTCTCAAAGCCATTTAAAAAAACCCCACTCTGTGATTCATTTAAATAATATTTGTTAGGACAGTAAGCAGAGATCTAGGAACATGAGAGATAAGGAGCCAAACCCATCAGGACATCAAAGATCTAATCCCAAAATTTTGTGTGTATATGTTTTTTGTAATGCGATTAAAAATTTCAACAATTAATATGAGATAGTAGATTCAGATGCAGTTGAAATAAATAATTTTTATGTACCCTTTACCTAATTTTCCCCAAAGGTAATGTCTTGCAAAGATGTTGTAGAGGTATTATCCTCAAAACTATAGTAGAGTATCATAATCAGAATATTAACACTGATGCTGTAAAATACAGAACATTTCCATCTCCACAAGGATCTGTCAAGTTGCCCTTCTATAGCCACATCTGCTTCCTCCCATCCTTTATCACTGACAACCACTAATCTGTTCTCCCATTCTATAATTTTTTATTTATTTTAAGCATGTCATATGTTCATATAAATAAAATAATTTAGTATGTAACTTTCTAGACTGGCTTCTTCACTCAGTGTAGCTTTCTAGAGATTCATCTACGTTCTTTTTATTACTCACTTCACTAATTCAAATGCAAATGTTTTCTGGAAACATCCTCATGTACACACCCAGCATCCTGTGGCCCAGTCAAATTGATACATAAAATTAACCATCACACAGATGTATCTGAACCTCAGAAGGATGATGCTGAATATCAATCAGGACATAGTATTTGGAATCCAGGCATTCAATCCCATGAGTACAAGACCCCAAGGATTTTGTGGGGGGTGGCAAGAGCTAGCTAGCCTACCTATTAAAACTTTAGCCCTGAAGGCTAAGTTTCTGAGAACTTCAGTTTTAGCAAAAAAATGCAAATGCACAAACACAAATAGATAAAATAAAGATAGCTGTACAAAACTATCTATAATGGAGATCAAGATTGGGAATTCAGTCAAGAAGAGTCAAGAAGTGTCAAGAAGCCCAGCCCAGTCCAGTCAGTGTGTCTCAGTGGTTGAGTGTCAACCCATGAACCAGGAAGTCATGGTTCAATTCCTGGTCAGGGCACATGCCCAGGTTTCAGGCTCAATCCCCAGAAGGGGGCATGCAAGAGGGAGCCAATCAATAATTCTCTCTCATTGATGTTTCTATCCTCCTTCTCCTTTCCTCTCTTGAAAATCAATAAAAATACACACATATGT